AAAAAAGCTCTCCCTCATTACTTGAACTGACAACTAAAGTGACCCCCTGATGTGTGTGTGTGTGTGTGTGTGTGTGTGTGTCAGGGGTCTTGTGTCGCGGTGCCTTACATGTGTGAATGCTGCCTCCTGGTCCTGAGCCTTTGGTATGAAGGGCAATGTGATGTGACTCAGACCTTCTGTCTCAGCTTGTTTCTTTGACTCGGGGCTTCAGGACAGCAGGGACAGTGGCCCAGTGTGCTGTGGACATGTAGACCCCTCCATACACACAGTGACACTGAGGCAGTGTGACAGCCAGGCACCCAAACACTCATACGCATGCACACCGACAACCCTAGTGTGTCCTTTATCGCTACATCATCATATTATATCAATTATAAATGCACATATTCACATTTATGGAGGAGTCCTGGGAAAAACTCTGAGGAGGAGTGAGCTGGGGTACGCTGAGCCTGTTGGAAAGGCAAGGTATTACTTCCAGGTCATGTGATTCTTTGTCAGAAACTAGCAGAAAGGGAACACCCCCCAGATTGCATTTTCCCTTTCTCTTTTTTTTATGTCTTGGGTTTAAGTGTAAAATTCGGGTTTCACCGGCTGACCCCTCCACCTTTCCAGAGTGGTGAAGGGTGTCATGTTGCTTTTTAGGAGGCTGCTCCCACGTAGGATGAATAGTTCAAGTATTGACTTTTCTTTAGACCGTTAAATGCTTTCCAACTCATTATAGATTTCACACAAGACACAAAACGGATAGTATCATCACCCTTCCTGCTCTGTTATTATTGCAGCCTTGTTTCTGATCATCTCTAATGTAATTGACGCAGACATACAATTAAACAGTCTGCAAATTACTTGTGATATTGATGACTGTGTAAAAAGCACTGAGGCACTGAGGCATCTAAGCAGCTGTTCAGATCATTAAAACTTATTGTCAGCCCTTCTCCAGTTTCTCATTGGCTCCCAACCTACATTGTGACAGCTGTTTTGGTTACATGTATTTAGACCATCAATCATTGCTCTTTATCACAGTGGGATTGCCGCTGTTGATGTCATGTTGTGT